CTGTAGTTTTACTGTAGTTCTGGGAAGGACTGTTAGGGAGGCTTCAGATATCTCTGAGGTACTAAACAAATTATAAAACGTCTGCCTGTCATAGACTTTTAGAAAACATCCTGGCATAAAAGTTCTGTGGTGAATTGGACCATACTTAACTCACTTTGGCTACTATGTCCTTAGTGCTGGTAATCTCATGCAGAACCTAAAGATTCCTCTTGTACTTTTTGCTTCTTGGAAATCCATCATTTTTGTTTATTTCCACTAGTATGAAATCAAGAGAATGAGGAACCAGCAGAGCTTCAGGATTTTATTTATTTTGTATATACTATTGTTCATGAGAAAGTTTTGATAAGAGAACTTATTTATCATGTAAAATGTATATTTTATATCTTTAGACCTGTGGTTATTTTAATTTATAGTTAAGGCAAATTGTTCATGATTTTTTTCCACTTCACACATTTTGCTTACTCCTGTTAATCTAGATTAAATTATATAAAAAAATTTTATAGCCAATTGACAAGAAGGGGAAATACTCACTTTTGGCCATCAGCATTCCATCTGTTGTATGCTGATAGCCAGTAGAAACAGATGGTACTTTGTTCAAACCTTGTTTATATATATATGTAGGTATATATATATATATATAATTTTTCTTTTGACTATTTTGTGAGCTTTGGTTCATGATTTGTTTTCAATATAATGTTTCATATTTGAAAAACAGATTTTTTTTTTTTTAGGAATGATATGTATATTGAAGTAAACTTTATATTAGAGCATTTTGAACAGCTGCCAGAGAGCTATTGGCATTTATTTGCCAGCATAAATCTGAAGCTATTTAGCTTGACAGAGGTTTACAAGGTTTGACTTAATTGTCCTAATTAATTTTGAATTTGGGATTATGCTCATAAATAAGCAATTTATGTTTTTATATGTAAATTACACAGGGAGGCATTCCTTATGCTTCATGTAACTACATATAGCTTACTTATTAAATGTTGTTTGTATAAATGTTGATTTGTCATAAAAAAGATAACTGTGAAATTTAGAAAAAACAGCACACAAATGAATATGTGAATTCCAGTTTACTGATAACAAAGATGTTGAGGCACATTTAGTTTTAAATTTAGTTTATTTGCCAAATGAATCATTCTGACGTTTGGAAAATCATCATACATTTGACCTAATTGTAAAGTAAAATAACCCCAGCTCTAAAGAATTAAAATTTATTACATGTCTAGTCTAAATGTGAGAGAAGTTTTTAAAACATTTAATTATATTTCAGACGTATGTACTATTAGAATGATGCCTTGTAGCTAAAATAATTTTATTCTTTTCAACTTAGATACATTTTCTGCAATGTTGTGCCACTGTCTTCTATGGATATTTTTGCAACTCCTCTCTTCAAGTAAATGTACCATAGAGAAAGAGCCAAAACGAAACAAAACCCAAACCTGTTGCCGTCGACTCGATGATTGTCATTATTCCCTAGGCAAATACAGTTCTTAAAAATTAACGAGGCAGAACAGAAAAAGTAGGAATGTGTCAGGGTTTTGGAGTGAGTTTCAAACCGTCATTTACTTTTAATAGGTTAATAATTATTTTCAAAATGAAGCTCAGTTTGGAATTGAAACCTCAACTGGTCAATTATTAATCATTTAGTTAAAATTTGTTGGGTGAGTCAAACATGTTTTTGCTTTTCTTTTTGTTTTGTTTGTTTGATTTTTGGTCATTTCCCCTCTTTTATATTTCCCTTACTTTCTCTGATTCTTTGAGGGACAACCACGTTTAAGACATCGTTCTGCCATGATCGTAGACAGTTAGGGATTGTTGTGGTTACAGTGCTGCACTGCAGTAGAACTTGAAATAAAGCCACAACCCTCAACATTTTCTTGGTTGGAAGACTTGGAATTGTGAATAGCTGTGCTTGCACTGAAACTCTTTTATTTATTTATTTTTTTATTTCTGGAAGCATTAGTAACATGATAAGTGTTAAATAAGCTCACTGTTAATTACTTTGGTAAAGATCATATTATTCATTATACTATACAGGTCTACCAAACGGGGTAGGATATAGTGGCAATTTGAATCTTTTCTGTGTAGATTGTAATTCTCTAGTTTATTTAATTTGAAATATAAGAAATCTTTTGGACATCAAGATGTTACAGTTTAAGTATTCAAATGAGAACAAGAGATTTGTTTTCTTTTGGTAATTTTGCTCATCTCTCCTTAGGATTAAATTATTAAACTTGGATTTGGCTTGCAAGAAAAATCACTGAATTGAGAGTTGAGATACTTTTTTGGGGGGGCATATGTTTATACTAATTGCAATATGGAGGTGAAAAAAATTCCAGTTTATGAACTCAGATATTTTAGGCTTTAAAGCATTATGGAAAATATTAAATTGTTGCATATCTTCAAAAGAATTGAATACATGAAGTTGGAGCATTAATATACACTTGAAAAATTAATTCAAGGCTAGATGATACATTTGCTACTGCATAAAGTAAAAGATGGGTTGAATGAAGAGAGTAATCTTCCCAGCTGCTGTTTGTCAATTTGATCCTATAAAGATAGTTCTTAAAAGAGCATTATGTTCAAGGCAGACATTTGTTACTAGTTAAGCTAAACTATGGTTTGGTTTTTAGAAGATTTTAAGGGATATTTTTGGTACAGTGTTTAAAGATTATCTCAGGGCAGTAGTTTCACGGGTTCATCCACCCTCCATAACTCTAGAAAGTCTGGAGTTCATGAGAATTTGAAGTTGTGTTCTGCATTTTTCCTCTTTGGTCAGGATTCCACCATAGAATCCTTGATCAAAATATTCAGTAATGGTAGCCGGGCACTGTCCAGTTCTTCTGGTCTCATGGCAAAGTTGGCAGTTGTTCATGGAGGCAGTTAGCCACACATTCCATATCCTTCTCCTACCCCTGACTTCTTCCTCCGTTGCTCCAGGTGAATAGAGACCAATTGTTATGCCTTGGATGGCTGCTTGCAAGCTTTTAAGACGCCAGGCACTATGCTGTGAACTAGGAGTTAGGACAGATGCACTGAACACCTTATTAGGCCAGTTAGCTGGGATGTCCCATGAAACTATGACCCTAAACCTCTAAACCAAGTAACCAAATCCCATGAAGTTTTTGGTTGTACATAAGCAGCGTCAGCAGCTACTCTTCTTTTTTTGTTGTTATAAATATATCTATCACACAATTTATGCCAATACTTATTATTTACTTTATTAAACAAATTTTGTTGAGCCTTTATGTAATAAGCATCACATGAAATTTAATTGGGGCTAGAAAGATGACTATGACATCCTTGTCAGTTTTGGGAGGAATTGTGTCAAGGGACTGAAATTGAAGTGGGAAAGGGCAAGAGTGTTAGTAAAGGGAAAGAAATGAATATAAAAAGAGCTAGACATAAGACTTCAGTTAGAACTTTGAAAAGTGTTGTCGATATTAAGGACTCTTCTGCACTGGTTTTCTCAAACTTTAATGTGTGTCTGACTTACTTGGAGATCTTATTAAAAGGCATATCCCAATTCAGTATGTCAGAGTTGGCCTGAGATTCTGCTTTTCTAACAATCTCCCAGGAAATGCCCCTGCTTTTGGTCCATGATCTGTATTTTGAAGAGCAAGGCTCAATACTGTTTTTTTGGAAGCAGGAATAGTAGATGTGGGGACTGAGTTTAAAGCCTTTTCCTGGATAGTTTTACTTTTTCTTCTTAATTCCTTCCATAATATAAACAAAACATATTGATTGATGATGAAAGTGTAAATAGCTGCATAGTCTCTAAATTTACTTTTTTTTTTAATAACTAATTTAGTCAATTCTTGATTATCTAAGGGCATATTAAACAGTATATAGTTAACCATGGTATTAAATAATAGTGAACTCTAGTATTGTGAAAAATTGAAATCACAGTAATTTAGGGTAATACTGACTATATTAGAATGTAATTCTGTTTGGAATTATAGCCCTGGTGGTGCAATGGTTAAGAGCTATGGCTGCTAACCAAAAGGTCAGCAGTTGGAATACACCAGCTGCTCCTTGGAAACCAACCCTATGGGGCAATTCTACTCCTATAGGGGCACTATGAGTTGGAATCGACTTGATGGCAAAAGGTGTGATTTTTTTTTTTTTTTTTT